GGAGAGTGAACAGGAGAAACTAATGGGGGTGAATATAAGGAAAGATTAACTATATACATGCATGAAAATACAATGAGCCACACAATTTCTATGATGATTTTTAAAAATTAATTCTAAAAAAGATGAAACCATGAAATTATACTTGGAGGAAGAAGAACAATGATCTGAATTTTCTTAATAGAGACCTAAGTAAATCCACACAAATGCAAAATGCATTAAAACATCTAATAAATAGGATTAAAATAAATCAAGATAGACCTGAAATTCAAGACAAGAAGTGAGATATTAATTACTGTAAAATTTGTTTATATAAATGCATTGTAATTTTTATCTTAGTTAATGTTTTTAAATGAAAACAATGCATTTTGATCATATTCACCCCATCTCCCCACTCCTCCCAGATCCATCTCTATTTCTCTGCATACCCAACTTGATGCTGCCTTCTCCTTTTTCCTCCCCCTCCAAGTACAGTTAATGCTGCCCATATATTCTTGAATGTGTGACCTTCACTAAGGCATAGACAATCCACCAGGGGCCACACCCTTAATGAAACTGACTCTAAGTTTTCTAGCAGCTATCAGTTGCTTATAGCTTCTTGGCTAAGGATGGGACTTGGTGCTCACCTTCCCCTCTCGAAGCCAGAACTGTGTCTAAGTCTCAGCCTGTGACCATCTTGTGGAGTCTGTCTCGATTGCTATAAATTCATTTGTGCAACTGTACACTGCTTTCTTACAAGTGGTCACTGCCTCTGGCTCTTAGAATCTTTATGTCCACTCTGCTGAAATGATCCCTGCGCCTCGGGAGGAAGGGTGTGATACAGATGTCCCGATTGGGGCTGAGCACTCTGAAGTCTCCGGTCCTCTGCACCTTGACCAGTTGTGGTCTCTGTGTTCATTGCCATCTACTGCAATAAGAAGATTCCCTGATGACTGTGGACTGATACACACATTTTAAAATAGATGTTTCTAGGGACATCAGTAGATAGCAGAATGTTTCCTGAGTGGGGAGAAGACAGAAAAAAAGAAGATAGGAAGAAGGCACTAAACAGTGACGAAGTAAGGGGCACAGAGATGAATTGAATGGCAAATCTTGAACATGTTCCAAGTGGAGATGGTGGTTTTATTGTTTTATTCTGGTAATGGAGGGAATGTAGTGTTCCATCTCTTGGTGAGGGCAAAGCTCACAAACATAAGAATAGAGAGGAGTTTATTTCATACAGCAAGCATGGGGCAACCCTAGAGGTCATTCTCAAAGCAGTGTTTTGCCATAGCAAAGAAAGCAACAGACTTTGACTGGGGAACTCATTTATGTTTGGGTGTGAAAGACTCATTTGCCACAGGGGTACATTCTATGTTCAGTTCACGTTCATATGTTACATATTCAAAAATAAGCAAGCAAATAGTGTGGCTGCAAACATCTCCGAGAGAATTTTGCATTACAATGAGTAAAATTTCCTTTGGACCACCTCAAAATGATATGTGAGAATAACTCCAACTTTTGGATGGTCCTTGGGCATCTCTCAAGACAAATCAGAACAGAGCACATCTCTAAAGTCATTTTGAGAAACATTTAAAAATCAGCAGATTTTACCTAAGTATAGCAGCTTGTTCCTGCTACTACCTTCCTACTTTAGATGTTTTCCCCAAAACTTGGTTGTATTTTTTTCTGTTATTCAGATCTGAAAGTCTGAAATATCTGCAGAGTTGAAAGCAAGGGGGTAGGTATCAGAAATACTCAGACATCTGATAGTCTACAGAAAAGAAAAACTTATCCAGAGATGCTTCCAGGATCTTCATGGGACTGGGTGGGGGTCTACAGTGAGACAGGCATGGAGAACATGAGGGAGGCCAGAGGAAGGAAACCAGCCTCCCTTTGGAGTAGGGGAAGGAGTTGCCTAAGTCTGATACAGACCACTGAAACAGAAACCAAACAAGCTGACATTTGCTTCCCATAATGGAAAAACAAAGATGCTTTATCTGATCTGGCTGCCTAAGGCTGGGGTAAAAATACTGAGACAAAAATTAGTACCACTGGAGCCAAGGAATGAAATAATGCCTCCTTTGACTTTGACTTTGACTTTGACTCAGCTTCCCTGTGTTTCTTCAGCCTGGGACTCTGTTCTAAAATCCTATGCATGCCTTTAATCCCAGCACTTGGGAGGCAGAGGCAGAGGCAGATGGATCTCTGTGAGTTTGAGGCCAGCCTGGTTTACAGAGTGAATTCCAGGAAAGGCTCCAAAGTTACAGAGAAACCCTGTCTCATAAAACAAGCAAGCAAGCAAACAAACAAAATAATAATGAGTAAACTGGGCTGGAAAGATGGCTCAGAGGTTGAGTTACGTTCCCATCATCCACCTGGGACTTCTCCACTGTGATATAAGTCTGCTGCTCACTCCTTACAGCAGACACACAGGCAGACATACAGACGTGTCACATACACACACGCATTTTCCTGGAAGTAAAGGCAGCAGACACATTCTCTTAGCCCAAACAGTTGGACGTCTTGTCTTTCATTTCCCAATACCTTGGACTTGTTTGTGGCATGGATGTCAAATGTGGAGGTTCCACTGAGATCAGGCACCACACAGTCACATGATATGGAACTAACTCCCACCAAAAAAACCTGTAAGTTCAAGAAACTCCCTTTGTCCTATGGAACTGAAAGGTTTGTCTCTTCTTTCTGGGTCCCTTCATACAATTATGGGATGGTGCTGTCAGCCTCCTAATACCTGGAACTAAAGGAAGTTAGAGGTAATTTTCCCTCAGGATCCCCATCACGCCATATATGTGACAGTTATCTCTCCTAATGCCCTCCTACCTGAAGGCCTCATTATGACTGCCTATGCCTATAATCCCATGACTCCCCTAATCAAGCTCATTTGCCTCACTTTCCTTGCTGTGAACCTCCAGATTTCTTCATATCTTTAATGTGCTAGCTATCACGGCATCCTGGGCTGTAACCTCACAGGGCACCATATCTCCTTCCCCTAACAGCTTCATGATTGGAAAGAACAAGATGTGGTTTCTAAAGTCCTTACCCTCTCTGACTAGAGTCTCTCCCTCCTCTGCTTCATCATGTCCAGAGCCACATCCAGATAGCACATATGGAGATTGGGACACTCCTATAGAGTTGCCCTGTGGTGCATAAGAGGCAGCTATTGTAAGTAGAAACAGAAATGGCAGTGTCTCACATGGAGGAAGGAATGTCCTGTTCCAGAGGAGACAGGATGCTCAGAAGGATGGGAAGCCCAGTGGCCCCTTCAGGGTGACAGTGTCATCATAGTTACAGAGCAAATCCCTCTGAGCTGGATTCCATTCTCGATGGTAGCTCATTAAGACCCAAAAAGTCCTAAAGGGAGACTTGCTAAGAATAGAGAAATGACTCAAAAGTCTCAGGAAGTTCCAGAAACATACAAGGCCCTACTCTGCCTGAGATTATATAAGCAGGGAGGATTGCTAAGGAGATTTAGACCAGCCAAACTACCTAGAGAAGATTCAACAACCCATCAAGTTGCTTTTAAGCTATATAGAGAACTCCAGAATCCTAGGTCTTACAAGTTGGCACTCATGCTTAGACAATGATGTTGCCTTTGAGTCATCTGTGCTCCTATAAGTGTCCCCTCACCCATACTCATGTAAGTAACCTCAGTAAGCTCACTGGGTCATCAAGTAGAGCTTTGCTGCTGTCTTTATTTTGGTCTGTGTTACTTCCCTATCTGTGGTGAGTAGACCTGTTTGTCTCCTCAGGAATAGTGAGTGCCGCAGGACAGATAGGCTTGCTGACTGAGACATTATCAGTTCCTTTTTCCCAAGCACTCCACTTTCTCCTCTTTTTGATGATGCAGCTAAGCCCTTGATGAAAGTATGCCTGAGATTAAGGTACTGACAGTTGTCTCTTGAGGCTTCTTGGCTCACAAATGGCCGTATTTCCCTCTGTATCTTCACAATGCTCTCTTCCTATAAAGACACCAGTCATGATATGTTTGCACCCACCCTGATGGCCCCATTTCAACCTGACTTATATGAAAAGATTACCTGTAAACAAGGTCACATTCTGAGCCACTGGGGATTACACATTCAACTTAGATTTTGAGGGGAACATAGTCATCATAACCCATAACCTTATGACGACCCACTCTATACCAGAAACTGATGAATGATGCCCTCTCTTGGTCTCCAGTGTTTGTCAAGCCCCAAGGACTGTCCCTGTTATATTGAGGGCTAGGATCTTGGCAGGTGGAATCCTAGGCATCTATATGAGTGACAACCAAGAAGAAATTCTGCCCAACTAAGCCATCATTTCTTGAGATCGGGCTGCTGACAGGAAACTGGGTACCATCAAATGTGCCAGTGCACACGGAGGCCAGGTGGAATGGTGATCACTTTGCACTGCTCCAGCTAGTCAAGCACCAATAGCAATCTCAGAGCCTCTCCTGCGAGTAGTCATCTTTATAACTTCCCTTTGGGTCCTCACCTCTGACAGATACTCAGCAAACACTTCACATTACTTTCTTGCCTGGTACACTACACTCTTTGTGCTGTAGGCTTGATGCCTCACCTTCTAAAAAAAGTAAAATATCCTGTGTTCCCTGAGAACCGAACTCACAGGCAGGTGAGTCTATGTCTATGGCAGGTGACCCCTGAACATGCAGTGGGCTGGGTTCTGGGAGAATCAACTTAACTACAATCACCTGAAAGATGGGCTTCTGAGCATAGATGTGGGGGATTACTTTATGTTCATTAAGAGGGGAAGCTTCACCCACTATGGGAGCCACCATTCCCTAGGTAGAGTGGGGAAAGTAAGCCAAGCACCAGTGTGTTTGCATTTATCACTCTCTGCTGTTGATTGTGGATGTGAAGTGGCCTGCTGATTCAGGCTCCGGCTGCTTTGACCTCCCCCTGCATGATGACAGCAGAGTAAGATAAAATTTTTCTCCCATAAGTTGTTTTTACCAGAGTATATATCACAGCATCAGGAAAGAAGACTAAGCAATGGCCAAGAAGATTCTAAACCCTTGGGTTATATTCACTTTACATAGTAGAATGGAGGCAAATCCTGAAGAAGAGTGTGGCATCAGAGACAACCATGCTCCATTGTCACTCTTCTGTCTCCATACACACCAGCTCAAGGAACAGCCTTTCCCAGCACACCATCTGTATCAAGGAAAATACCACACCTTTCTTCAAGAAGTTGTTTTTTCTGGTTGTTTCTGCTTAGTTAGCATTGGGAAAATGACACAGTATCTGTTTATGGAATAAAGGACATTGGAGTGAGGACAATGGGGAGAAAGGAAGAGAAAGAGGACTGGATGGTGGCTACATCAGAACTAGGTAGGTGCTGTAGGGCCAGCAGAGACCCTGGGTACAGATGCTGCCCTCTCTGGATTGCTCTGTTCAGGGACACGCGTGGGTTCAGGCAGGGTCTTTGTAGCAGCTCATAGGATACCAGGAATCTCTTTGGTTGGGGAGGGAGGTGTTGAATCCCCCCCAAGAAGCTTTTTCTCTGTCTCTTCCTCATCCTGAAAATAAAATAGGAGGGAGAAATCAATGAATGGAAGAAAAACATGAAGATGAAGCATGGAGTTTAGCTTCATCGATGGATGGAGAAAAGCATGAAGACAAGGTTAGCTTCACCATTTTAAACCAGCAGAGGAAAGAAGGGACAAGGAATGACAGCAGGTAGTGTACATGCAGCAAGAAGGACAAGGAGGCAGAGCAGGGGGAGGGAAACATGAACTTGGACTGAGTTGGAAATGAGAGTGAAGGAAAGCATGGAGAAGCATTAGGTAACAGAGGTCAGACAGGACATAATATGGTGTCACAGTCCCCAGACAGTGAAGGATAAGTGAGGACCAGGGACTTCCTAGGTCAGGTGCTCATCCCCATGTTCAATGCCCAGACCCCTGATGTCCAGCAAGCCCCTCCCTGAGTACTCACAAGGGCCTGTGAGCTCTGGCCACACATACTTTGGAGACTCAGTCCCAGGGAAGCCAAAGACACGACAATCTTCAGGATACAGACAACGGTGAACATGATGCAGATTGCTAGGAACAGGTTCTAGAGGCAAAAGAGGAACCCACCCAGCAGGAGTCAGCTTTTCTGAATCGCATCCTCACCTCACCACAGTCACACTCAGCCCATACCCTGTCTAGCAGATACTTCTCCCCAAGGCTGGTTGTGTCTTCTAGCGATGGGGTGGCCACCACTTCTATCCCACTTGCTTGACTGGTGAAAATGACATCATACCAATGATGGGCAGTCCTTCACCGGCCCTGTAGTTTTTATTCCTGTCTCTTGACAACCTTACCATAATTCCCCACCTGGGACCTTATTGCTCTACTGAGAAGCCAGAGCACATGAAGAACATGCTATAGGTTCTCGGCTAACAGCCCAGCTGAGCTCCCAGCCCAGAGCCGCATCATCTGCCTGCTACATTAGTGCCTTGCTGTGAATGATCACACTCACTATCTATGCCTGCGGTTTCATAGGAAAATCCAAGTGTGAACTGTCTGTCTGAACCCAGCCAGAGAGCTGTGAGAACTATGGATAAAGTGGTGTTTAAATCCACCATATTTGGGGGTGATTTCTTATGCATCAATAAGTAGATAACCAGAATGGCAATTCATTAGAGAAGTCAGAGGGGTGACCTACTGTCTGTTCCCCCACCACTGAGTCATGTATGGAGGTCTGAAAGTGCCTTCAGCTTGAATGACAACTTCCTAACCAAAGGCTTAGGGTGAGGGCCAAGTTCACAAAACCTTCATCTCTGTTCCCCGGGCCTCCAATCCCTTAAAACCAGGGCTGTAACATGTCCCAGGAAAACCATGCTTCCATTCTCACCATCATCATGTTCAGGTACTCTTTGCACCTCTCCGTCTTCCAGACTGAGTCATCATTGAATCGCACTATCCCGTACCCACTGCCCATGCTAGACTGTGAGGAGTCACACGTGGAACTGATCTTGACATGGTAGAAAGCACTCGTTTGCCAGATTAAGCTGCTCATACCCAGAACAGTAGCAGCCACAGCTGTAGCAATGCAAGCCAGGATGAGCAGACGTGATATGTGGCCCTGAAAGAGAGAGGTCCAGATGCAGATTCTGCGATCAGTGGCAGAATCACGAACCACAGCCTGAAACCTGCTCATCTTCCCCCGCTGCTATGGCAGGAAGTGCCTCACAACCCTCCAGGAAAGACTCATTTTATTGATAACTACAGGATAATAGGTTGAATAGTGCTGACATTCTAGCCCTTTTGGAGGGTGTAGATGGACAGGATTGATAAAGAAGATGCCTGAAACTCACAGACAGTTTTCCTTGTTGCTTCTCATGAACAATGATGCTAGCTCCGGCTACAATTGCCTGGAAAGAGAAGATACCAAAAAAAATTACCTCTAGTTTATTCTCCTGGCTAGGTTTCCCATCACCCTTCCACCAACAGTGCCTAGGAAAGCCCAAGTAAAGCAGGGTTCAAAAGCAAGCCATCAGAAAAGCAGCACATGGGCAGACACTTGTCACCAATGTCCTGCCCTTAAACAGAAACAAAAAACTAAGCATCAGAAGGTTTTCTCCAGTCCTAATGCAACCATTTCCTGTTTGTCTCCATTGAGCTCCTTGCTAGTTCCTTACTTACCACAGACCCTGACCAAAAGGCACAGTCAGAGGAACACAGCTCAGTCCAGGGTCCTAAGTAGATAAATACTCCAAGGACACAGCTCATAAGTCCCAGCAATATCTGGGTCACCTTCAAGACAGGAGGAAAAAAATCAACTCTCTTCACTTCCCAAGGTAAATGCACAGCTCCAAGCCAGGTGTGGGCTTCACCCCTCCCTCTGCTTTGGCCTCCCTGCAGCTCTGATTCTGCAAGGTTCTGTTCTAACATCCATTGAGTCACACTGGTCTGCTTTTTTCTTCATTCCCCTCAGGCTATTTGTCTTTCATTTACTTTTTCATAACACTTTTACTTTATGCTGATTCTTAACATGTTTACCTCATTATCCCCTAGGAATATCATCCTGAAAAATCCTGCACCTAAGCTCAGTGTCTCACCCCACTCTAACCCCTCATATGCAAACACAATGTGGAGGGCTCTGTAGTATACACAAGATGTAATGTTGAGGGTGGGGGATGAGCATACTGAGAAGTACAGGAGCCCTTGGGCTCAATCCCCAGGGACAGATAAGACTGGAGGAGGTAATCCACAGCTAGACCTATAATCATCCTAAATCCAGATGCCTAAACATCAGTGTAAGAACACAATCTATAACAGAAAGGGCAGTATGGCATCCCTAGAGCCCAGCTACTCTAGGAGTGCAAGAACTGAACATTCCAACACAGCTGAAACACAAGTAATGACCTTAAAATGACTTTATGAAGATGATAGAGGTCTTTAAAGTATAAATGAAAACAATTCCCTTAAAGAAATAGAAGATGAGATCGGGCATATTCAGGGTGGTATGGATGGGAGGGAGAGGGAGCTAGGATTTATATGTAAAATAAGATTGTCTCTAATTTTTAACAAAAAGAAATGGAAGAAAAGTCAATGGATAAATATCTTAACGAATGCCAAGAAAACCAAGGTAAAATCAAGCAAACAGCTGACAGGAACAAATAAAACTGCTCAAGACCTGAAAACGGAAATAGAAGCAAAAAAAAAAAACTGAGGGAATTTTGGAAATGGAAAACTTGTGTAAGTGAACCAGAACTACAAATGCAAGCATCACCAACAGAATACAAGAGTTAGAAGAATCTCAGGCATTGAAGATATGATAGAAAAAAATATTCATTGGTCCAAGAAAATGTTAAATTTAAAAAATTCCTAACTCAAAGCACCAAGGAAATCTGTGACACTATAAAAAGACCAAACCAAAGAATAATAGGAATAGAAGAAGGAGAAGAATCCTGCTTAAAGACCCAGAAAATATATTCAGCAAAATCATAGAAGAAAAGTTTCCCAACCTAAAGAAGAACATACCTACAAAGGTACAAGAAGCTTACAGAACACCAAATAGACTGGATCAGAAAAAAACAAAGTCCCTTCACCACATAATAATCAAAGCACTAAACATACAGAATAAAGAAAGAATATTAAAAGCTGCAAAGGAAAAGGCCGTGTAACATATGTAGGTAGACCTATCAAAATTACACCTGATTTTTCAGTGAAGACTCTAAAAGCCAGAAGATCCCAGAAAAACCTCTTACAGACTGTAAGAGACCATGGATACCTAGAAAAACTTTCAATTATCATAGATAGAGAAAACAAGATATTTCATGGCAAAGTCAAATTAAATCAATATCTATCCACAAACCCAGTTATACAGAAGGTACTAGAAAAAAAACTTCAAACTAAGGAAGTCAGCTACACCCACAAAAGCACAGGCAATAGATAATCCCACACAGGAGGGAAACATCCACTTGAGCATGTGTGAGAGCACAGACACACACACATACACACACACACACACACACATACACACACACCACCACCACCACCACCACCACCACCACCACCAACAACAACAACAACAAAAATAACAGGAATTAACAATCATTGGTCATTAATATCTCTCAATATCAATGGGCTCAATTCACCAATAAAAAAAACCCACAGGCTAACAGAATGGATAGGAAAACAGATTCTACCCTTTTTCTGCATACAAGAAACACACCTCAACACTAAAGACAGACATTACCTCAGAGTAAAGGGTTGGGAAAATATTTTCTAATCAAATGGACCAAAGAAGCAAGCTAGTGTAGCAATCCTAATATCTAACAATATAGACTTCAAACTAGAATTAACCAAAAGAGATGGAAAAGGATATTTCATATTCATTAAAGGAAATAATCCACCAAGATGATGTCTCAATTCTGAACATCTTTGCCCTAAATACAAAGGAACACACATTTGTAAAATAAACATTACTAAAGCTAAAAATCACTTATTGAATCCCACCCATTAATTGTAGGAGACTTCAACACCCACTTTCACCAATGGAACAGGTCATCCAGACAGAAACTAAACAGAGAAATATTGGAACTAGCAGATGTTATGACTCACATGGACCTAGCAGATATCTACAGAACATTTCACCCAAATACCAAAGTACACCTTCTTCTCAGGACCTCATGTAACCTTCTCTAGAATTGACCACATACTCGGTCACAAAGCAAGTCTTAACAAATACAAAAAAAATTGGAATAGCCCTTTGGATCTTATGATCAAAAATGGAGTTCAACAACAACACTAATCACATATAGCCTATAAATTCATGAAACCAATGATGGAGGATGTCCTTCTGTATGTTGTGAATTTAATTTATGTTTCTTTTTTGGTTGATGAATAAAACTGTTTTGACCAGAACAATACAAGGCTGTCCACTCTCTCTACATCTAGTCAATATAGCACTTTAAGTTTAGCTAGAGCAATAAGACAACAAAAGGAGATCAAGGGAACACAAATTAGAAAAGAATACGTCAAAAGTATCGCTATTTGCAGAAGACATGATAGTATACATAAACAATACCAAAAATTCTACTAGGGAACTCCTACAGCTGATAAACACAAACCTGGAAGCAACGTAGATGCCCCTCAACCTTAAGAATGGATAAAGAAAATGTGGTACATTTACAAAACTGAGTACTACTCAGTGGAAAAAAACAATGAAACCTTGAAATTTGCAGGCCAATGGATGAAACTAGAAGAAACCATACTGAGTGAGGTAACCCAGTCACAAAAAGACAAACATAGTATGTACTCACTCATGTATGGATATTAGACATAGAGCAAAGGATTACCAACCTACAATCCACACTTCCAGAGAATCTAGGAAGCAAGGAGGACCCTAAGAGAGACATACATGGTTCCCCGGAGAAGGGGAAAGGGACAATAGCTCCATAGCAAATTGGGGGAGAGGGAGAGAGAAAGGAAGGAAGGAAGGAAGGAAGGAAGGAAGGAAGGAAGGAAGGAAGGAAAGAAGGAAGGAAGGAAGGAAGGAATGGGTGTGGCTACAGATAGCCTATAATGGAGGACATGTCTCAATCTTTCAAGCTGAGGGCAGGCCCTTGAAGGAATCATTCCAGCCAGCAATTAAGCAATGTGGCATTTAAAGGGACGTTTCCCTGCACTCTGGAGTTTTCCCAATAGACTACACTACTCTTCACTGTTCAATCCCATGCCAACTCCTCTAATCTCATCAGTGTAAGCCCCAATAAACCACAGACAACCCTAACCTGATGGTGTCTTCTTGCTAGTAAATCCAACTGTCACTGACTCCTGTACCCCACCTGCATGTCCTTCCAGCACCTTAGATTTATCCATTAGATTGTAACAAGCCCTATAACCTAAGGACAGCCTCTCCTATCTTTCAGGATTCTCATCACCTAGGAACCTCTGCATGTTCCTGGCCTTATGTCTTCCTTACACTCCAAACCCATCCCATCCCAAGTTAGGGGATCCCATTTAAACTATCTGGATTCCTGTTTCTACTCATTACTTCCACTCTGACACATAAGTTCAGAACCTGGTTCCTTCTTGCCTGGGCTCCTCCTAGCTCTGAGGCAAAGCTCACCCATTGAAGCTAGAACTCCTCACCCTGTCATTCAAGGTATTTGGCAAAATGGCTCCTTACCATCCATGAATCCCTCTCTCTTCACTCTTCACTGTCAGGACACTGGCTGCCCTTGTTCCTGGCCCTCCTTTACTGTGGAAGTCCTTTCCTTTCACACCCTGCTGCTCCCTGTCCAAGCCCATCCCTGCTCCACTCAGGGCCTTGCTCAGACACTGATTCCTCATGTGTGGCACTCTGTCCTTGTGTCACCTCATCTACCTTTGACTTTAGTCATGTTGAACACTTTTACGTGGCTCAAGGGTCTCTCTGCCTCTCCCTGAGGGTTTGGTTAATATTGACTTGCACCTGCTGCCTTCAGCCCCCATGAACTCCAGGAAACAACTGAACTCACAGCCCTGAAATTCCTCTCCTGTCACCCAGCCTCTGGCTGACACAGCTGCTCTTCACCAAAGAGAGGGTTGATTACTCCTTTCCATGCAAATCCTGCAGGGAAACATCTGCAACCTCTCCCCACATGCAAGGGGACAGTGAGCTTCTTCCTGGGTTCTTTCCTGAGGAGTCAGTCCGCTTTCCTTTGCATCTCTAAAGAGGAGAGTCCCTACTTCTGTGCCACCTCACTAACCCACCAACAACCCACTCTCACCCCTAACGCCAGCTGCCCATGGTGGATGCTGGCCTTGGAGGGCCCAGTGTCCTGAAAACAGGGGAGAAATTTCAGGGAGCCCATGGCTTTCAGCAGCTGCTCCCAAGCTGGTTTCTGGTGGATGTGGATGTTGACATGAGTGGACTGGGGGACTACGGAGATCATTTCAACCCCATTCACAGTCACTGTGGTTTGCGTCATCTTTCCTGGTGGGGAAAACAACAGATGGTTACCATGGGAAACAAATGGATGAAGTAAGGGAAAGGGAAAGTGGAGCAACTAGTGACTCAAGGTCAAGATCTCCGGAGTGCAGATGTCAATGTCACAGTGGTCCTTATTTGAGATTCAAACCACTTCTAGAGCCTTTCACCAGGATTAATGGGATGTTATTGAATATGCAGGGCTCCTCACAGACTGTTGCATGCTTGGTCTTGGCTGGTGGTACTGGTGGGGCAGACTGTGGACTCTTAGGAAGCAGGCACTGGTTGGAAGATGTAAATCAATAGGGGTGTGACTTTGAAGAGCATCTAAGCCCCTCCCACATTCATTTCTCCGTCTCTCTTCCCTCCTCTCTCCCTCCCTCCCCCCTCCTTCTTCATGGCCACCATGAGATGAGCAGCCTCTACTGCCACTCCCACTGCCCTGATATTCTGCCTTGGGCCCAGAGTAATGCCCTGGCCTCAGAGCAAAACATCTGTAACAGCGAGCCACACAAGGAAACATAAATCTCCCTTCCTTCAGTCTGTTTTTCTTGGATGTTTATTCCCAATAACATAAGGTTGCCTAACACAGCTTGGCTTAGGTCTAAGTGGAACAAAAAAAAAAAAGAAATCTGAGTACACACACAACAAATGACTGATACCATACATGGTTCTGTACAACATGGTGTTGATGTGTCTATATGTTTTTACATCAGTCCATCAAAATCTTCCATTTGTATAACTACATGATACTCCTCTCTCTCTCTCTCTCTCTCTCTCTCGCTCTCTCTCTCTCTCTCTCTCTGTGTGTGTGTGTGTGTGTGTGTGTGTGTGTGTTAATATTGACAGGCACTTGGATTATTTCCATCCCCTTTGTATCATGACCAGGATGGAATAATGCATTTGTAGTGGCTGTTGTCAATTACCTTCCATGGATGTTGGAGCAATGACCATATACGAGTGGCATACAAGAATAGAGCTTCTCCCCCCCCCACTTCTTGAGTGTGCTGGCAATTTCTGCTTTATATGCTTTAACTTAATGCAATAAATTGCTCCATTTTCATTGCTTATCTTGAAGTTTGACAAGTATTTATCTTTATGAAAACACAGCTACAATCTAGATGCATATTGCAAAAAGTTCCTTCCAGGTGTGGTGGCACACGCCTTTTATCCCAACATTCAGGAGGCAGAGACAGGTGGCTTTTGTGAGCTGGAGAATAACCTGGTCTACATAGCAAGTTCTGGGCCAGCCAAGGATACACAATGAGATCCTGTCTCAGAAAATAAAAATAAAACTTCCCTAATGTACTCCCCCCAGTAAATTCCCTTGTCTGGCTTTTTAAATTGGTTTCTGCAATGGCTTTGAGTGTTTCTTCATAATGTGGTTGGCTCCCTTTTCATTTCTTAGAGGCATTTTTTTATTTCTTTTGTAAGTTCTTCATTCTGATACTTCCTGAATATTTTTCATAAAAGTTCTTTGTATATTTGAAAATTTACTATTAGCAATATGCACTATCACACACACACACATGAACAGGAGGAAACATGATTTAAGAAGAAATGTTGATCTTTGGATCTATGTCATAATCCCCAGATATGGAAGCAAGGGCCCATGGTGTTAGTCCATATATTAACTTCTGAAAAACAGCTTCTACTGTGTTCTACATCACCTTTCTCCCACTGAATAAAAACACTTCCCTGAGTTTCCACAGGGCGTTGGGTCCATAAGGTCTTCTTATTTTGCCTGTTTGAATGTCCAGTGGCCTCCTCACCACTGCTACCATTCTAACGAGCATAGAGTGTAACACATCCCGCCTGCTTCCTAACTCTCTCCTGTTTCTGGTTCAGAACTGTTATGGTCCTCTTAGCCCCTCTGATCATTGTTTAGATCCAAAAGAAATTCTGCCCAGGAACTCTACTGGGCAATCTGGTTGAGAATCAGTTTCAACCACTCCAGTCTCATCTCTGTTTGCACTCATCTGTATTCTCCCCACACCTTAGTTCACTCTTCCCTTCCACTTACCGGGGCCCTCTGAGTGACAACTTCAGGAAGGAGGAAGAGACTTTCGACTTCTTCGCAGAAACACAAATGAAGGTCCCAGGTTGTCACCTTGCCTTGAGGTTCCAGACATTAGGAACGAAATTTCAATCCCATCTGTGTGCTGGCACCCTCCAGACTCCCAGGTCCACCACTTCCTGGGTCACTCAGAAACCTCTATGCTCACCACTGCTGCCAGCACTCCAGAGAGTGGCTCCCTGATCACCCTCCTCCCAGTGCCCAGGAATGGAGAAGAGAAACCCTGTGTCTTCACTCCACAGCCATCCCACGCCTGCTTGGTCTCAAAGGCCCCACTCTCAGAGTGCAAGTGAGGTTCTGGTAATTGTGGAAGGCAAAGCCAGGCCCTGGCCTCCCCAGCCTCAGGCCTGTGTCCAGAGTCACAGCCTCTGTCCAGCATGTCCCTCCCTCCCTGGAGTCCCACAGGAAAGGAGCCTGGGAGGGGAAGCAACATCCTGGGCTAGGGTAGAGCTCCAGGGGTAGGCTTGGAGACCCCTCCAGAGAAGGGATTCTGTGCTCCAAGAGGGAGTACCCTGGGGCTGTGAGGGGCCCTGCCTCACCTGCACCTGTTATCCTGAGAGAGGTGGGGCTGGAGCTGAGACCTCTGGGAGGAGCTGACCCCAAGGTAGATAAGAAAGAGGAAAGCCGGAAGAAGAGGTAGAGGGATGGGGACCTGACCAGAGTCTCTCAATTTCCCAGCAAGTATCTGACATGAAGGGGCCCCACTTGGGGGGTTCCATTTGGAGTGGATGATCAGGCCTGCTGCAGCAGGCATGCAGGTGACACAAGGACACACAAATACCCAAGGTAGCACAGACCCACAGTTGCTTAGAAAGCTCTAGCACTGATGCGACTGGAAGAGAGTACTCTCAAAGACCCCACAGGACTGATCAATGCCAGCCCCAAGTCAGTGCCTACCTCACCCACCTTCCCCAGATCTCCGCTGTCCAGTGAGGAACTGACTGCTGGAAAGCCCCTGAAGGGGCCTCCAGTCCCAGCTGCCTGCCAGGAAGTGCTAAAGTCTGGTCATCCTCCCTCCCCTTCTGGCTCCCACCCAATTTCTTCCTCCTGCCAGGACTGAGGTTCTTAACTACAGCCAGCTCCTCCCTGTCCCTGGGTCTTCCCTGCTGCACACTCCCCGGGTTCCAGAGGAAAGAAGGTAAGTCAGCCCACCCTGTCCTGAGCCATGTGGCTCCTCCTGGGAATCACTTCAGCATAAACCCCTTTCCCAGTCCACCCAGCTCCTTCCGTTCAGGCCTGCTCAGAGCTTGCCAGGGGCTGGGCACACTGAGATGTGCTGCTAGGAACAGGTGTGGTCTATCTCCGCCACTCAGTCCTGTGGGGACAGGGTCAGTCAGTGCTAACTGCTCATCCAAGGAGACAGAGGGCTCCGGGGTGAGGTGGTCCCTGGATTCCTGATAAGGAAGAGGTGTTGCAACAGAAGCTGGAGGGGGCAGTTAAAGGGACTTGGGCTCTGACCTGGGGCCAGAGAACTCTGGGAGGAGAGGCTGAGAGAAAAGACCCAGTCAGGAGTGAAGTAGAGAGGTAAAGGACATGAGCACTGCTTGATCTAGACATCAGGTCCCTGAAGACTGTCGCAGGGGGCACAAAGTAGATGTGGGATGAAGAGGGAGCCCAGAAGCAGCTTCCCTGACAGACAACCCTCCAAAAGAGATCCTGGGTACAGCTCCACAGCCAGGGGCAGCTAGTCTGTGTCAACTCCAACAGGCCTGAAAGTCTGCCAAATGTTCCTTCTTGCTATTCATTTTCTCCCTCACAGATGGTGTCCACAGACATGGAGACTGCAGACGTCGGTGAGGGGGCCCTTAAGTCCCCACAGCCCACCCACATTGATGTGCACATCCACCGAGAGTCTGCTCTGGCCAAACTCCTGCTGACCGGATGCTCAATGTTACGGCTCCCAGAATCTGCCTCGACCAGGAGTCTGGGCAGCAGCAGGCTGCTGGTGGCCTCCTGGGTGAGCGTAGTTTAGCTTCATGGGCTGGGGAAGGACACCCAGCCTGGCTAAAGAAGAGTCCTTTTTCTTGCTTGCCAAACTTTCCTCAGGACACCCTCTATGCCTAAGACATTGAACTGGTTTTACCTTCTTATCAGAAACCAGTCAAAGTTGTGCAGTCAGCTGTGAGCTAACGGGTGGGTCCACTGTTTGGGAGCTGTGTTCTCAAGTCCTTTCTCTTCCAGGTGGTGCAGATTGTGCTGGGGGTTCTGAGTGTGGTTCTGGGTGGAACCCTCTACATCTGCCAGTATTTAACCATGAATACCTCAGGTGCCCCCTTCTGGACTGGGATTGTGGTGAGTGTGGCAGCATGAAGGTCCCCGGCTGCCAGAGGGATAATGTTCTCTTTGCTTCCTGCACACCATCACCATTGAGGTGGCATCGGAGAGTGTGTAGCCAAACAGACTGGATGGCGCAGGCCAGCTTGGTGCTTGTGTAGATGACAGCAGTGAGGAAATGGTCGTCTGTGCAGTCACAGGTCAGCTCTGCTGTCTCTTGTCCCATGCTTCTAACACCAGGCTGGCAGACACACCTCACTATCAATGGCAGTAGTCAGCTAAGTCTCTGAGGGCTCACCCACATCTGAGAGCTGCCTCAAGACAGGGAAAGTGGAACATGTCAGGCAGGGAGAATCTCCTACTTCCTTTTGTTCATCCTATGGGGATTCAGGGATGTATTCCAACACGCTGTTATCTCTAATGACGGCTGACTGGGTTGAGCATGGTGAGTACAGAAAACTTTCTGACAGACCCACACTCTCAGAACAGTAAAAACACATGCATCCATTGACAGCAGAGGTTAAAGTAACTGTGCTAACCCATCCAATGGCAGAAGTATACAGATTTGTTATAGAATAGTCAAATAGGGTCAGGACCCAGGTGTCCATGGGACTGCACCAGACTTCCTGCTCTTCTAGCCTCATCAGATGGACCTAGTAGCTGGTAAGTTGGGAGTCTGGACCCGAGGCTGCCTGAAGTCACATCCTGCATTGATAGCTTTTCCAACAACTTGGGACTTTGACCCACAAGATCCCTGGTCCTTAGACCTTTCATGAAGAATCTAGTGTGGTTTTAAAAGTAGACAAGAAGATACACACCTGACTTAACCATGTGCATTTAGGTGTCACTAAAACAATGTCCTACACCCTCACTGGTGAGATCCAGGCTCATCACTCTACACAGTTACTCCACCACAGACAATAGAACGTAGCAGATAGAATGGTATAGGCCATGTGGCTGGCACTACAGATGAGATGAAGCAGAAGATTAATGGGCATTTGTATTTCCTATGCTGACTCTTCTGGTTCAATATCTCCCCAGGCTATGCTGGCTGGATCTGTTGCCTTCCTTCACATGAAACGGGGAGGTACCTGCTGGGTGAGTTTAGGACCAGGCAAGACCCACACTCTGCCTAGAGGCTATGCCAGGCCTCCTGCCCCATCACATACAGGCTGGGTAAATCTTCAAGATCTCCCTCTGTCTCTTCCTCTACCTAGGCCATGTTGAGGACCCTTCTAGTACTGGTGAATTTCTGCATGGCTGTGGCTGCCATTGTTCTTGGAGCTCGTGAGTTCAATGTTTACCGATACTATCTCAGAGATGATGTCTGTGTAAGCTACTCTTCAAATCACTGGCCCACCAAGCCCCCCAACACCCCAGGCCCTGAAGAAGCTGATAGGATAGGCCTGTGCATATTCTACACAAGCATGCTAAAGGTAAGGTCAAGGAGAAGGGCAACTGCAAATCGTAGCAGGGAGACTAAGATGGTACCTCTCCCTCTAGTCTTGGTGATTGATCTTAAAGATGCAGGACTGAGAAAGACAGAAACTGTTCCCACTACTGTGGATGTCACATTAGGAAAGAAATACTATCATCCACAAGTCATGAGTGGCCCAGGATTGCAAGTATGGCAAGGGTTACCAACATGGTAAATGCATGTCCTCCCTGTCACTCACAACACAGCTCAGTTACTGAGGAGAATGGAAAGGGCTTCTGGTGAATTCTATCCACTGGACCAATTGACCTAGAGCACAGAACGGCACTTTCCCTTCTCTCCCTGTCACCAACGTCTTGCTCTGACCTCTTTGTTAGAAAACAGACGAGAAGAAACTTCTGGGTGCAAATGTGATTTAGCCTCTCCCTTGCTCTGGGTGTCCCTCCTTCCCAAGCCTGAAAGAAGAGTCAACAGGAGCAAACAGACCCTACCCCACTGCCTGGCTCCACCCAGCATCATGGCCGCTCACAGCAGTACTTGCTTATTTTCCTTTACCTTCACCGTCCCATGTTCCTTCTCAGGTAGTGACTTGATAATAAAGTCTCATGTCATTGCTAGCAGATTCTGGCTTTTGTCACTCCAGGGAGCTCTCATTGACTGGGAGGCATGGCAGTGTGAAGACAGTAAGCTTATGACACACCCCACATAGCTCCAACCTCCTACCCATATCTGAAAACAACTAACTGGGCCTGTAGGGTGCAGCAGGTAGAGACTCTGTCCCCCGAATTCTGATTTAAGATGATGGGTAGTTGGATGAATGGGTTTTTATTTTTACTGTTGAGCAAAATCAAGACACAGACAACATAACACCAAGACACAATCATTTCAGAAATCTCATTTATTGGTTTTGGGGCTGTTTAAGATGGAAACTTGCTATGGAGCCCAGGCTGAACTTGAATCCATGATCCTCCTGCCTCAGCCTCCTGAGTGCTGGGATCACAAATGTGTATGGTCATCTTGGCTCTGAAAACATTTTTTCAAGTTATCTAGCCAATGATATGGTGATATAAACCCCAGATTAATTGTTCCGTAAAAATACATAAAACTAGACATCATATGGCTCATATATTTAAAAATCTCCAATATATATTATCAAGACAATAAGAGCAACCTCAAAAGCCATAATGAAGGGAGGCGGATCCAGAGAACTGAGTCTTGAATTGGTCTATGTTAGGGTGCCATAAGCACCTGCACATATGGATTTCTCCCGAAGGGCCTACAGGGCTCAGTGTGTGTCTGTATTCATGGATAACCTATAGCATCATGAAGATGATACACCCCAGGATCAAGGGCAGGAAGACAGTCCAGGTGGGCTCTAGCGAAACCCAATGTGACTTGTTAGAGTCCCCTCTGGTGAAAGGTCACCCAGGTGACCTGCCAAAGGAAGCCATGTAAGGTCCTAAGACAGGGATTTTACTAAAGGCTAAACACGGGGATGCCCTCTCTCTCTCCCTCCACTAGAACAGCTTCCCCTACTCAAGACTCCTGGGGCGTGGGAGGAGCAAGTATTCTCTTAAAATTCCGTTGCTTGCATAAGCTAGGTAAGCTGATATTGTGGAATTTGGTGCTTGGGCATACAATCAGCAAAAGAGCATCCTAAAAGCCAAACATAATCTGAGAAGACAATCAAAGCTGCCCACTGTGATGAAGGCTATGGCAGTGGAGAAGAGGAGGCTGAGACAGCCATGGGCAAAGAGGGTTCTGAAGATGAGGGTGATGCTGACATCAGTGAGCAGAAGGTCTGTGAGAGTGAAGAACCAGAAAAACAGAATCAAACTTCAAAGTCAGAGGTCACTGTGACCTCCCCACCCCCCACCCCGACTTCCTGTCTCAGAATCTAATGTAGCCACCAAATGCAAAGACTCACCAAACCACTTGACCCACAGACGCTATGCAAACTCTACCACCAAACACGAGTTTGCTACAGGGGAGGAAAGAGAAGAACCAAAATTTCCAAGATCCTTTTTCTAGTCTTCTTAAAACCACTGTAAAAGGGGAAATTAGTATTTCTCGTTTATGTCCTGTATGTTTTACAGATTGCTAGAGGTCATGACTCAGATGACAAACACAGCCCATCATCTTTACTGTCATTACCTACAGTGCGGCCATGTTCATTACACTATCAAAGAAGGAAAATAAAATTTTGCTTTAAAAAAAAAAGTCCTAGGGGCTGGAGAGATGCTGCTCTTGCCGAGAACCTTAGTTTTGTTCAGTTGTTTTGGGACCAATTTTCTTTCCTTATTTTTTTTCTCCCTGTGTAACCTTTGCTACTCTGTAGACCAGGCTGCCCCTGAACTCAGAGATCTGCTTGCCTCTGCCTCCCAAGTGCTGAGATTCTGAGTTCCAGTTCCAGGGGGATCTGACACTATCTGCTGGCCTCTGCGGGCACTGCACTCATGTGCAAACACACACACACACACACACACACACACACACACACACACACACTTTTTAAAATACCACTCTTTTCTCCTTCCTGTCTAACGAGAAGTGAAGACTTTTTCTCCCACACACTCTTGCTGCCATGATGTTCTGTTCTGTGCCAAGCAACAATGAGTGAGCCATTTGAAGCTCCTCCTTAAGAAACAAAAAGTAAGACTGGGCATTGGTGGCACACGCCTTTAATCCCAGTGCTTGGGAGGCAGAGGCAGGCGGATCTCTGTGGTTGCCTGGTCTACAGAGAAAGTTCTGGGACAGGCTCCAAAGCAATACAGAGAAACCCTGTCTCAAGAAAACAAAAAAAGAAAGAGAGACAGAAAGAGAGAGAGAAGAGAAGGCAGAGAGAGAGAGAGAGAGAGAGAGAGAGAGAGAGAGAGAGAGAGAGAGAAACAATGACAAAAACCTTATTCCAAGCATCCTGAGGATCTTCTCCTTTCTAGAACAGAGTTCTCAAATGAAAAACAACCTTCCTTCAAGCTTCTAGAACAGGCATTAGGAAAACCTGTCTGAATGGTCAGCAGGTTGACCTGTGTAAACACTGCAGAATGTGTGTCTTCAGTGTACAAGGACAGCAAGCAACAAGCCACTTGACAGAGGCTGACTTTGTTCCCCATCTTCATTCTTTCCTTCTCTATCCCTTGTACTAGGTGCCCTAGTGTTGATTGGGTACATTGCTTCTCAGGATAAAGACATAAAGACTGTGCTTCCCAACATCCTTGGTGTGCACCTCCTGGGGAGCACATAGGAGGCATCCCCTCTGCTCTCCTATCTGGCTCTGGAGCAATCCACATTGGGGTGATTTAGCAATGGAGAGGGAACTCATGATCTACACACAACACACAGATCCTTGGGTGCCTAGCTAGATATCTGTGTGAGACAGAAACTTGTGTTTGTTTATATATTCTGTCTTTATAGACAGAAGCCATTCTAACAAATACATTTCCACCCCCAAAGAGTGGCAGATAAGCCCGTCCAGTCATCACACTGTAGACAAAAATAAATCTATCATAAGAAGAAGAAGATGATGATGATGATGATAATGATCAGATCAGAGTTGGAGAGATGGCTCAGTGTTAAGAACACCTGCTGCTCTTTGAGGGAACTTGGGATTGATTCTCAATACCTACATGGTGGTATTGAGTTCCAAATGATTCAAGACCCTCTTCTGTCCCCAGTAGGCACCAGGCATGTACATCGTGAACCTACATACACACAGGCAAACCCACACATAAAATAAAAATAAATAAAATTTAAAACATTAAAAAAAATCAGTATCTTCCTGAGAAAGAACTGTGAAGCTTGCCTGATGACAGCTCACTGCAGCTGGGTACAGATCTTAGCAAGAGTGATGGTGAAACATGGATAAAACAGAGGTCATAGGAAGACACGCAGACTCTTACTTCACTTGACAGGTCTCCATCACATGCACAGTCCTCCTTATCTCCCACCTCCATTCTCTGAGGATGTTCATGTCACCTCCTTAGTCTTTTCTAGTGTGATGAATGGGAGGCCAGCCATGGCACCTCACTGGCCACATACCTTGCAGTCCCCAGTACAGCCTTGGCAGCCACCTCCAGTGTGAGTTCTTGGCTCCCCAGGCCTGCTCTTACCTTGTACTTTTCCCCATCCACCCTCAGAGACTCTGGGAAAGTTGAACAATTCTCTGAATGGTGACATTCTGAGCTGTCTCAGCTGTGTGCTGCTTCTCACTGCTTCAAACTCAAAGGATGTGTTCCTTCTACCTCATGGCCAAAAGGAGAAAGCAGGAAGATGTAGAACATGGAAATCAGAATAGCCACTTCTTGTTGCAGAGGTGAACAAATGGGAGAGAAAAGACTGGCCTGTGAAAACACACAGAGGTCTACAGTCATGGTCACCTCCTCACTTTTAATCCAGGAGGTACATATATGCTATTAATGAAACTATGTACATGTTTATATCATCTTCTACATGAATATTATAATTAAAGCACAAACCATACATTGTAACTTTCTGTGCTGAATTAACACCACAATTATAGAACAGAGGACTTATGTGAAAGCCATTCACTGTGTCAGTTAATACACACCTGGCCAACATCATCACACTGAACATTACGGGAAAAACATTTCAAAGCAATGCATGGTCACTCCCAACCTCAGCATAGAACTTCTGATAAAATAGTTTATGACAATTCTTCCCAAATATACAATCCCTACAATGTTTATAGTTAAGTTAATTATCATCAGCCACCAAAGAAGAAAGAAAAGAATAGTGTATGCCCACTTGAAATTTGGGTCTTAGTTCTAACAGATTATGACTTTATGGGCCTTATGAATACAGGTATTTAAACATAACCACAAAGTCACAGAGAAGACTAAGCTGACTAGAATGGCAAATAGTCAAGTAAAAATTAGCAGACTAGCAAATAAAGCATCAAATGCCAAGAATTAGTGCATTCCTTTCATTAGGGATTTTGAGTGTTAGTGGCCTCAATTTTCCAGTATAAAGACTAGCAGATTGAATTTAAAAATCTGACACATCCAACAACCTACCTACAAACAACATACCTCCTTATCACAAATGAACACAGCTTTAGGGTAAGAGACTGGGAACTGACACTTTAAGCAATTTGAAGTAGAAAACAAGCCAGTACAGCCATACTAAAAATCTAGCTAACTAGACTTCAAACCAAAATTATTCACAGGAAAAAATCCATCAAAAGGATATTACAATTCTAAGTATAGGTAAGCTCAACATCAGTTAACCTGATATCATAAAACAAGCAATACTGGCTGTAAAGACACAGACTGACAGCAACACAATAATAATCTATATGACTCCCACATCCTTCTTGCACCAATATACTGATCATCCAGAACTATAGAAACAAAACCAACATGGCAGACACAAACACACATGTGTTGATCAGTGGAGTAGAATAGTTGACCCAGACATAAATTCATGCAGCTATAGCCACCTGATTTTTTGACAGAGATGAATAAAACATACACTGGGAAAAAGACAACATCTTCAACAAATGGTTCTATAAAAACTCAATATCCACACCCTGGTCCACACCCTGTATAAAAATCAATTCAAAGGCCGAAGACATTAATGGAGGACCTGGAATACTAAAGCT